GTTTGCTGCGATTTCCCGCCAGCACAACACGCGTGTAATTTTGACAGTTCCGCTGTCCGAAATGTATGCAACAGTCGGCTCTGCGATCGCTTGCGATCGTCTGCGATTATATGGAAACAACTCTCTTTGCGATCGTCTGCGATCTACGATTTGCGATCCGCGATCGTCTGCGATCGTCTGCGATCATATGGAAACCAGCCTTAAAGATGTGGACACCGCCTGAGGCGAGGGGCGGATGATGTCAACTGAACAATGGTTTGTTATTTCCTGAGTCCTTGGCAATCAAGTTTTCGAAGGTTTTTAAAGAAAGCCGCTATTTTACAGGGAAAGGTTGTACCTAGTTTTCTGCACAACCTTGAGCATGAGTCAAGTTTTTCATAGCACGCGAAGCTGAGAGAATTTGTCCACTACAAACTCCAAAACATTATTTAGAATCGCTTAGCACTTCGGAACAAATACCTAGTACTCTCAGAGGATTTCAACTGTAATTTGTATGGACTTTAGTCTATGAGAGTTGACTACGGAGTCAGAGCAAGGATATTTTCTAAGTGTCGAGACATCGAGTTGCTGTAGTATGCCCAAGCTCAGTAGACAATTTCTTCATCTACAAAGCCAAAATGATACTTGAAATCGCTTGACATTTCTAAACAAAGGTCTGCTATTCTAAGAAGAATTGAATGAGTTATTCCGTGGAATTTCTATAATAATTTCAGACCTCCGAATATGTAGTTTTTTGAAAACACTTCCCGACTGCCGGGTATCTAGACACAATGAAAATGTTTAAGAGTTGCATCAAACTCTGACCGAGAGGTGTCAAACCTTGGCTTTGAAGCACATTCAATGTGCACCAGGTAATTTGCATAACATTTTTTCGCGCCTCAAAGCTCCTCATACTCAGTCACGAGGTACTATCAGGTCGTAATTTGAACAAAAAGTCTGTCATTCAACTTCCTTGGGAAATCAAAGGAAATTTAATTTGGATCGAAACGTTCGTCAAACTGAAGTTCAGCAGACCAAAGCATTTCAAATTCCTCATTTTATAATCTGGCTCCTGACTCCTAGTTCCTAGCAACAGCATCTATCTATTTATGTAAGAAATACAGCACACATGAGTACTTTTCCCATCTCGTCCTGAGTGTAGTTCAAGTGTTGGCCGAAAAACAACACCAGTACAAACTTTTACATACATTATACACCGTTGGGTGCTCATGAGAATCGTTTTCCATTCAGCAGGCATGCATGACCGTGACAACACGGCCAAAAGTTTTATTTGCATGGCCATAAACCATTACATCGTTGTAAAAGTATAGGATATTTGAAAGAAAAGCACGTGTTGGCTTACCACAATATAATCGAAGACTTTTACATACATTACACCGCAGAGTGCTCCTGATTATTTTCATGGCCATAAACTATTGTCTAAGCACTGTTTGAGTTTTGAATTATTTAAAGAAAGTTGTGACGGTGAACACACAAACGTCGCCGAGATGCAGCTGTGTTATCTGTATACTGTTTGCTTGTTTGTCGTCGCGTCTGTTATTTTATCTTATTATTACATCAGTATCGTCGGAGACACTCAAGAGAAATTGACGGTTGCCGACGATATTAGTATGAACAAGAACATTTCCTTTAAGATGCTACAGCGAGTACAAGAAGCACTGGAGGAGGAACAGTCGCCTAGTATTGACTTTGACGACGATTTGATGTCAAGAGCAATTCAGGCTGGTAATCTTACTCGCTTAAAGAACGTTCTCAAGAAAGCTTTAAGAGGTGAAGACATCAATCTATTGGTCATTGGAGGCTCTAACAGCGCTGGCGGAAAATTAGGACTTGACGAGAATAGCTTGGATGGATTATATTTTAAAGTGTT